GAAGAGGCATTGATTTCAGCCTATGAAGTATCAGTTCCGAAAATGTGAACCAAATCTCTATGGCTTATCTGTTCAAAGGGGCAGACAAGTTCAATAAGGTATATATGGTTTAGGTGAAGGTGCATTTGGTGAAGTTCATATGGGGAAATTAAAACTTCGAAATGGAAGAAAGGTAGATGTAGCAGTTAAATTGGTAAGAGTTTGTTCAGTCCCTTATTTGAGATAGCCTAACTTTATTAACTCTATTCGTTCAGGCAAAACTTGAAGTATTAACGAAAGAGCAGATTAAAGAAATCATGCATGAAGCCCGTCTAATGAGGAACTTCGATCATCCAAATGTTGTTAAGTTCTATGGTGTGGCGGCTGGGCAAGAGCCACTTATGGTTCTTATGGAGCTTGTGAGTAGGCCTTGTACTTGCCAAACTCACTGTCAGTTCGCCTTGTTCATTCAAATCGTCCTCGATAACCTTCCTTCGGATGCCATTCAAGGACAACTTCCGCGATTGCATACTGTTAGCATTGGTGCTCGGCTATGAACGTGCAGCCGATGAGCGAGTCTCCAGCAACGGAGAAAGCGGAAAAAGGAATCGCAATCACTCCAGATAAGAACCCATTTCAAAAATCGCCCTTGTCCGAACATGCAGGCCAGGTCGACACTCCCTGCGTCGAGTATGGGACAAGGCAGTTGTGAGGTACCGTGCTGGAAGGCGTAGACCGAAGACGACGTGGAGCATGGGTTTTCCTCGTGCGGAATTGATACATGTACTTATATGCATAACTGACGGTAGATCTCGTCCCCGAAAAAGTACCACAGGTGCTGTGCTTCAACTCACTTCGACCGCACTGCCCTTGTCACTCACTGCGAAGACGTGAGAGTGGTTACGTCTTGACTTGAACTTTTTTGCATAGTCCTGTTGCGAAACCCTGTGATGCAAACAGATGAAGGGCAGCAGCCGTCAAAACATCGGTGCAAATTAGCGCACATGTTTTTTGAGGGGAGGGGACTTCATGTTGGCCAGCCGCTTATAGTGCGTGAGCTGGATTGTGCAAGATAATAGTGGCCATAGAGCTCTTTGTGGACGAGAGGGTTCAGAGAAAAACGGTAAAAGGGATCAAGTCAAGTAGTTCGCAGATCCGAGTAAATGGGACAGTTTCTTAGTCTGCGCGTCGGTGCGCCTGAGCAAAAAGGAATCTCACGATCTCACGAATTGGTCGTCCCTCGTAAACCAACTTCCTTACTGAGCAGCGATATTTAGGGGTGCGTATCAAGCTAATAGTCTGTTCTGTGCGAATACTGGTGTGTGTATCACGGGATCGAGTTTGGCCAGCTTGTTTTCCACTAAGTGTTATCGCTTGTCTGCTTCAGAAATTGGTGAAGAACCGGGTGGCTTTCCCTACGCGCGACAGTCCCTATACCCCACCCCCTACGAGCACGCCGCGAGGAGAGATTAGGCTGCGTTTATACTTTGCGGCAGCGTAGCGTAGCGCTTCCAGCGTACGCCAGCGGCAGTGTCGGGGAAAGGATAGATATCGATCTAGCGTTCCCAGCGTGCAACCAACGCGTACGCGTACGCGGCACGCTGGCGCGCTGGCGGTAGCGAGGGCACGGGAAGCATAGCTATCGATCTAGCTTCACCAGCGTTTTTCCAGCGCTTGCAGCGACGGGCTAGAGAGTATTGAAGGGAGGAGAGTATTTTGTACTCTCCTACTTTCAATACTCTCTAGCCCCGCTAGCGCTTGCAGCGACGGGGCTAGAGAGTATTGAATGTAGGAAGAGTACAAAATACTTCCTACCTTCAATACTCTCTAGCCCCTCTCTAGCCCCTCAAGCGCTTGGAAAACCTGGGGAAAAGCGCTGGTGAAGACTAGATCGATAGCGCATGCTCCTTGTCCGGTGCTACGGCCCCGTGCGCCAGCGTGCGCGCTAGCGTAACCTGTGACCGGGAAGCGCTAGATCGATATCTACCTTTCCCGCCGACACTGCCGCTGCCGCCAATTATAAAAGCAGCCTTACGTTTGCAGAATGGGATTTTCGTCACAGTTCCTGGACTTTGCTTCACTTTAAGTGTCATCACAACCCAGAAAGGTTTTCGCCTGTGCATAGTAATGTGGATTCATTTGTAGGTTAACTGTGGAGCACTGGACTCTTACCTTCAAAAACAGGAACAACCAGTTGAAAAGAAAAACGAAATGATACTGCAGGTTCCGTTTTCGAATCACAGGATTGGTCGAGAAATCCCACTCATTTCTTGCATTTCATCTAGGCGGCTTGGGGTCTGGAGTACCTTCACATGAAGAACGTTCTACACAGAGACATAGCTGCAAGAAACTGCCTCTATGGCGACAACAAGGTGAGCTTTATTTGCCACTACTTCAACTTCATATACCCTTGAGAGCATATTCCGTAATGACCAAATGTGGGCGGGAATGGTGGGACGGAGCTTTGCACGCACCTCTTCTGCTCTGCCTCCTACCGCCACTAGAGGAACGGAGCATCCGAAGATATCATCTAGCAATCGTAGCGATATGTCTTTAAGGCTGCTGTTTGCTCTTTTCAAGAAACATGGTGCCAGGCAGGAGCGTGAATTTTATTCAGGTTAAAATTTCGGACTTTGGTTTGACCAGAGAAGGCACAGTATATCAGATGGATCCACACAAGAGGGTTCCCATACGGTGGCTGGCACCCGAAACGCTGAGGATGGCTATCTACACGCAGAAAACTGATGTGTTCAGCTACGGTACGTATTTTCTGTAGAATGATTTTGTCAGTATTATATTCACAATCTTCCATTTGTTCAGGTAT